CACAGTTCCCGGCGAGCTTAAAAAAATATATAAATTTTCCTGTAAAGAACAAAAGTTGGACAGAAATAGGAAACAAATCTGTTACTTGCGTTTCGGTAAGACTCATAAGGGAAACACTATGAATTCGAGAAATTGTGTTTAAGTACCAGAAGACCTGGCTAAAAAGTAGCTGAACTCAAAATACTATATTTGATTGCCTTAGAAAAAAGTTAAGTAAGGCCATAACATCAAAAAGAATTGGCGATTAAATGGATCCAATGTAATTGGCGAACGTGCCCAGTTTATCAGATGATAACCCTTGAAAGAGAAAATAATAACTAAGGGATTTTAGACAAGATTTTATACATTTTTCGCCACACGGAGCCTCATTACTAGAACCTCATAGTGATGAGGCAAAATTATACTATGCCTTGTGATTATTGTGCTCGGCGTCCACTTTTATGCTATGCAGATAAAAAGTTCTTTCCATAATCTGTTGTTTAAGGCAATATTCCACCGGCAGAAGTTCCTGGTCCTAGTTGTTACTGCCACCATAGTTGGCTTCAGATGCTAGTGAAAGAGGTAGGCTGGATTCCTGCAATAAATTGTTTCCCTCGCTAGCAGTTACCGAGGTGACACCCTCTTTAAGCACGTAGTGAGAGGGTGAAGTAAGCTGAGATGGTGGAAGGGGAAGCTGTGGAGTTCGAACTTGTCCCTCCGTACGAGAGGGAAGGAGCCGAGTACGTCCGCTCACTTTCCATGAAAGTGGTGGAGGCTGTTGATCAGCCTGTTGCTGTGATAGTGAAGAAATGGCTATTGCTCGTTGTACAGGTAATCTAGAAGAACGTGGAGGCAATGGCAATGGGAAATGTAGTATTGGTGGCGGTGGTTGGGATGATCGGGGTGAATGTGGAATTGGTGGTGTTGAAGTTGAAAGAACCTGAGGTTGGGCTAAATTGTATGCAGCCGAAAAAGAAGAAGCCTTGTTCGAGGCTAAGGGACAGGAGTCTCGACGTTGTTCTCTGGCCGCTAGCTTGTCTGAAAAAAGAAAAATGTTGGTGCTTTCAAAAAGATGGAGAATAAGAAGTGCACTGAGTGTTTGCAGAAGTGATAATTATGTTGAATTTTGAGTGTGTTCTTCTAAGAATAATAAACTGTGCAAACTGGTTTTTTATGCTAAGAACATTGGTCGACATATATTCTATCATCCTCGGGTACAGTAAAGGATGGAGATGAAATCTAGAAGATAAGATTCAAACACTAAAATAGGGTAGTTTGTGCAATACTGTTGCTGAATCAACCAGCTTGATTATCATAGGAAAGATAAACAATAAAACTGACGAAGCAAATATTACATGTAAATTGAATTTTATTAGTGTTGGTTCGATCTCGTTATCGTAACTTGGTCGGTTGTGGAACGTACCTAGTCCTGTGTCATTTGCCACATTATTCCCGATTTCCAGCATTGGAACATTGACTTGGTACATTCCCAAACGTTTCGCCGGCATCGTCAGCACACAGTTACAATTGATCAAAGTGACAAGTGAAGGCAATCCCATTGATCAATTTTCTGTTCAACCGTCATGGCATCACTTACTGCCCTTATTTTTTGTCCTACCTTCTAGTGCTGCATCTCTTTCTCTCATCCCGACTTCATATTTACCACATTTACATATTCATACAATTCTGTGCTCTCGTTTTCCCCAATGTCGCCTAAGGGTGTGTCGCTCCCATGTATATAGTGAAGGGTAATCATCTTCACCGCCAGTACCAAGTGTCGTTTGCAGGGGTTCTGACCTTCACTGACGATACCGGCGAAATGTTTTGAGAATGTATCAAGTCAATGGTCTGAAGCTGAAAATCAAGAATAC